AGTCCCATGTGGATCAGAAAATAGCCACAATGTAGTACAAATGAACCCTGATGAAGATAAATATTACCTTCTTACCCCATATCCCACATTAATGCAATCACTCAAAAAATTTTCACCTGAAAGCATTAGAGCTATTGCTCGAAACCCAAATATTGACCTACAGTCAATTGGAATATACTCAAAATCAGATATACAACATCACATTAGAACACAACAATTCCAAGAATTATTAACACAAATGGACACTATACAAAGACAATCAATTGACCAAAACTTACGCAAACTTGCCGAAACCGCAGGATTTGCAGATATTTATACACAAGATTATAGCGGATATTTTAAAGACATCAAAGACTATATATATCTAAACGGTGAAAAATATAGACCACAAGATATTTCACCTATAAATATTTTTAGCTTTGTTACACTAAAAAATGAAATTCTCGATTTTCTAGGATGGCCCTACTACATATTAGAAAAATTGACTATTTTATACGCAATGTTTAACTTTATAGGATTTCTTTTTTCACTCTTAAAAGGAATCTATAATACATGCGCTATACACACACAAGTAAATAGACAAGCAAGTGTAGCAAGCATATTATTTGCAGGATTTTTTGGAATTTTTTCATCATCAATAAATAAAATTCTTTTAGACGCACAAATAAAAGAATACAACACAAAAATAGCAACAAGACAGAACACATACGACGAAGAACATAACAATGTAGACATAACACCTACAGCACCACAGTTACCACCCCTACCACATAACCATCCATTATCACTAGTCTCACGAAATTTTCGAAATTTAGCAATAACACATAATCCAAATTTTAGACCAACCATATCACAAAGTCCCATTCAACATATAATGACACACCATCCACTAGATGAAAATACATATGAACAAATTATAGAACAACCCCATACCACCGCTTTTCAGTCTCAAAATAATAATTTTTTTAGCCCACGATGAGCCGACAACTTGGATCCCTACACCGCTCAAATTCCCACCCAACCAACCTCAACACTCCAATTACAATAATTCCACTTTTTGCTTTCCCGCCACCCGATTTCCCAACCAATAGTGTATCATCAGGCATGAATTCAGACACTAACTCACATATCTCAGTTTTATACTCCATTTCACAACTTAATAACCCAAATATTGAAACCCCTGATGAATTTGCAGACTCTGAACCATCTCCATCCAATAATTTTCAAACCAACTCCTCAGTTTTTTCAAAACCCCCTTTTCAACCAATCCCGTTAAATAACCCACTTCCATCCATTTCTACACCCTCTTATGCTTCTCAAGTCACCCCAACCTACTCTTCATTTCATTCAGACCGATCATCCAATTCTCCAGATACTCCCCAAATCTCCCAGGAACTAGATAATTTTATCACCCTACAACAACAACCCTTCCACCTTGAAAACCCCACTATTAATCAGATTTCATCCACAATAGAATCATCAAACCCACCTACCCCTACACCCTCTTCAGCTTATACCGCATCATTAGAACCATCATCCACATCCACCGAATCGTCAAATAGCACTAATAGAGCTTATCGCACTTTCAAAAGAAAATACCCGAACCATCCATTTCCAACAAAACCAGGAACAGCCCGTGAATATATTAATCATCCAAATCACACTAACACGAAAGATTTTTTAGCAATCACCCTACCTTCATTTCCACAATATACTTTGAACACTCCTAACAACACTAACGACACACGTAGTTTTGTAGATGAACAAGTTTTAATGCCTACACTTCATTGGACATCATATTATCATTTTACTGACCCCCTTTGCCTACCTTTATCTAATACTCACATCGATATAGAAAGAAATCAAGATATGCTATATCGACTCACCACGCCACTAACACATAGACAATTTACTTATATAGGATATAAAAAGTCACTAAAAACATACACTGCACCCCGAGCTAACGATTATACGCTAGAATATTACGATCACAACATCATCCGAGCTAACCAAGACCAATTTTTAGATGATGACCGTTTCGCTAACCCACAAATCACAGAAAAATTCTTAATCAAAACACCATATGTGTTTACACTCAATATATTTGATCGCAAATTCGATCACATCATTTCTGAAGCACTAACCGACACACAAGCTTACGAAAGTTTTAAAGAAAAATTTCAATTATTTTCACTAACCTTTCATTTCCTTGCACCACACGACCGAGATTTACACTGCTCACACGATATTATGTTACGCACTAAACAAACCCACACATATACATATTATCGCTTCATACAAAATCACTTTGACCTGCACACTCCATCAAGACAACCACACCACCGTTTTCAATTTATTAACTCTAAATACACATCACCATTTTTTCTTAACTTCACATATTGCATCAAAGATACTAACCTTCACGGTATTCTTCGCAATTATGATCCCATAACCCAAATGTATATTTTTTGTCCCATCACAAAGACCTTCAACGCAGAAGAATCCAGACCCTTCCTTATCCCACATGAATTTGTTCAACCTATAGAAATCCCAATATTAGAATTCATCCACAACACTAAATACAATCACAAATTATATAATCTCATCCAAAACACACCTTATGATTTTGCAGTTGGCACTGAAGAACTAAAAACCATTAAAGCACTTCAATTGCTTTGGCCACTGCTTCAAACTAAAAACATCATTCGCATACTAGCAAAATTACTAACTCACTCCGACATAATACACGACATCTTCCCCCACGGTTTTTTCCCTGACGACTAACAGGTAAGTATAATTTCTATATATTCTTTACTAATAAATTCAAATTAAACACTAACCATTCTTTATCCATGTCTCATTTCGATTTTTAGTCTTCATCTCACGATCATCTGCAAAATACACAAAAGAAAAATAAAAATAAGAAAACTTCTTCAAATTGTTCCAAACTCTAATAATCTTTTGCACCAGCTAAATTATAAAATTCATACCAATGTAGTAAATTAATTTATAAATTATTTCCCTAAAAAGCAGTAATTCTAATAATGATGAAAATTTGTAACTTAATTTTTCCCCAAAACTAGCAGTAAAATTGAAATTCTATGTAGTAAATTGATAAGACAAAAATGCAGTACTAACCTTTTGATATTTCCATTCACTCGCACAAGAATTCTATCCAAACTCGCACAGCTCGCCCACAAAGAATTGTTTAAATAATGAATTTTAGTTTCAAGCTTTCACACTCAACAACTCTAACACACGATAACAAGTTTCAAACTTTCCTTTAACCCGGTTGGAAATGAATTATATACTAAACAAAACTAACCAATGCAGCTTACTAAACACCACAACACATAGCATAACAGCATGACTAAGAAAAGGAAACCAACGGTACCCAAACCGGATTAACCCAGTTTAAAACTGGATAATTTATTCTTTTGAAGACTATTATAAAGTCTAAGAAAGAAATAATAAAACACAAAAAAGTCGAAAGACAAACCCATACCAAAAACAATTTGATTTTTGAAAAAAGGACACAACCAACGAAACATAAGAAAAACCACAATAAACCTAACATAAAAAGTTATCACATAACAGGACCTCTCACAGAAACCGCACGAAATCATACTCCCACTCCTGGCCTAACCCACCAGAGAGGACGTCCTGAGCATGCTCTATAGCCAGCCTAACCCACCGCGCTACATCCATGCTTTGTGACCACACTTCTATTTTTAATGAGAGGTACTCAAGGGTGAGTAACTCTTCAAAATAACCGAACTAAAACAAAAAGCTTTTGTGAAAACAACTAACCAAAATCATAATTAAAACACCAAACTAATAAAAATTTTATAAAATGTAAATTACACCTTGCAGTATATAGATCAGCATACAACACCAAAGATGAACATCCAAAGACAAAATGAACCCACTACACTCGAAAAAGAATGGCCAACCACAATCAATATGCCGCCCACAATCACAACTCAAAGGATTTAGAGTACGACTTGACTTCGCAGAAAAGGACTTCATTGAAATAGAACAATGACCACCTCGATGTTCAAGTATACGTACAGATCCGAGTAACCAGGCATCCCCTCCACGCACAATCTCCACGCCATTCCCAGACAAGGTCAACCCAAAAGAAGTTCTCTACATGGAACAGAAAAACCTGTCATAGCCAACCATTCTGAAATCAGATTTGAGTTTGTTGCGAAAACCCAGTCGTTGTCATGAGAAGACACAGCGATTGAACCTGGAACTTCTCTAACAAGAGAACCCAGAAGAAATATGATGTTCGCCAAATACCAACGTCCATCATCCATCCTTTGAATTGCAGAAAGACTATTCTAAAAAACTCTGTAAAACCCGGATGGGTGGAACCTGATTTAAACTACATTTTATGATTGGATAAATTAGATATTTTACCACTGTAAAGTATTTAATATTAACCAATCATGATCCATCTAACTAACAACCCACTTATTTGTAAGTGCTGAAATTACTTGTAATTTCAGCACCAGAGAGATTTGAATTTAACTTAGAACTAAGTTGCCTCTCCGAGAGAACTTCAGCAGCCGCAATAAACCAGTATACCCTAGATCTATTGAGCCTAGCAGAGACTAGTTAAACAACCTGAGACTAGATAGTATAAGAGTAAGATTAGGATCGGTATTAGACTAAGAAGTTGCACGAATCTATCCGGCCGAAAATAAGATAGCGTGACGAGCAGACGGTGTACCCTATCCGAAATTACTCTATGAGTTAACCACATCGGTCCTAACTCAAATACGTAATTGTTACATAATAATTATTTAACAATTATGTAACAGTTATGAAAGCCGAAACTTTCGGCTGACTTATACTTCTGAAAAATATTACGTTTAACCAAGTAACTTTCTTCCTCTAAATTGATTTAAGGGGGAGATTGTTCACTTGGTCCAATATTCGTTACTAGGTACCCGAGGGGGAAAATAGTTAAAGTGATCCTTATTTTGTTACAGTCAGTTGCGGAGCTGCAGTGGTTGAATACGAAGTATGAGAGGGAACTGGCAGATGCTCAGAAGGAGAGGGAGTGTCTGAAACAAGTGACTCATAAAAAAGACATGTCAGAGACATCTGTCACAAAACTATACAACCAGGTCAGCTATTTAATTTTCAAACAATTTGACCTAAACTATTTGACCGAGGTCAAACAATTCAACCTCGCTCACTAGAGTTTAACTATGCAATTTTTAAAAAAGCACCTCTCTATAGAATGATCCGTGCTCGTTGCTTATGTAGGCAAGGTAACATTACCCCAGCCCAGAAAAATAACCAAAAAGTTGCATGCAATTCCTAAACAGGTCCGCAACAGCGGTTCTCCGTAAACAGCTGAATAGCTCGTAACTTGGCCCTTTCCCTCTTAGATAATTCTTCCTAAATTACCAAGTACATTCTGATACCTGTAAAAGATTTTAGCTGGCGTTTAAAAGAGTTGTGCTGTTACAAGTAGATATATGTATTTAGAACTGATCCCGAGTATAAGTATAGTTCAAACAGATCTATTGTTCTATTGTTTTACCATAGATCAAACAGATCTATTGTATTACCATAATTCAAACAAATCTATGGCTCAACTGTCAAGTTATGAAGAAATATGAGCGTAGCGAAGACTTCATCCTGACCGTGATGATTGTTTTTTTTTCGAGATTTGCTCACATTTAAATTTGATTTTTGATTTTTCTAAAAATCAGTTCATTTACTTTGTTGAAAGGAAAGCAAACTCCACTATCGATCAGTAAAAATGCAAAAAGCACAAAAGACGTGTAGAAGGCACAAAAACTTGTGGTTTCCTTGCATTCTGTTGGCTATCTTTGATATACCCAATTCATTATTGCCAAATTTCAAAGACAACTATCATAGAAATTCTGATGTAAACAAATCAATAGATTGCATCTAATTTTTGTTCCGAATGTTGAAGATTTGAACTGTGACCTTTTATCAAAAATTTGCGGTAGATCGAAATTTTCCGATTCAGACCAAGTGAAATCTTGCAAGGAAAATGTTCAATTTTTCATTAACGCGCAGTAATTGACGCAGTTTAACTGGCTGCGGAATCAGTCGAAAATTAAATGAGGCAGTGTAACTGGTCAAGCTAATGTTTTAAAAACTGCGAAACAAAATACCTTGTGTTATTTTTTGTTACTGTGTTAAAATTTTCAAAAAGAGAGAAATTGCTTAGTTTTTGTTTCATTTTATGGAAATTTATAGGCTAATAAAAGATTGTTGGAACATTCAGGGTTTCTCCCAGTCTTTATTAATAACTGCTACAGTGCTGATTTAATTTATCGAAAATTGGTCATAACTAGGAACTTGAACCGTATATTTCTAAAATTAAAATTTTATCAAAGAAAAAGGAACGAAATCTAAAATAGACGGTCACTGTGCAAGAAGCACAGAATATTCCGGCTATTGTACACCAATAGTTTTTTTTTCAAATTAGTGTCGTTTTGTCTGCGTGGTGTAATAAAAAGATTTGAACGAAAAATAAAGCATATTCAATTATCATAGTAAAATCAGCAAACTGGAAAAAATCAAAATGATTTTTCGAAAAAAAACAAAAAAATTTTCGAAGAAATTGAAAGTTTTTCAAATTTTTTGACAGATTTTTTTAATGATTTTTTTTATGATTGTGGTTCGCAAAATGGCGTTACAAAATTCCAAAAATTATTTTTATCTGAGTAAAATTAAACGCAAGCACAAATCAGTTATTGCACACGACTTAAATTAACCATAAATAAGCCTGCTTGCTCGTTTCATTCGCTCGAAACTAGACCACAAATCAAATAATTTATTTTCAGTTCTTAAATGTCCTCCGACTCATTTTTTGTGATGTCAATTGATCGTATACCATCCGACCCATTCCATTGACTTTTTTGATACCTGGTAATTTTTTTGCATGAAAAAGAAAAGAGAGAAGTAATTAAAACCTTCCTATGTTCGCTCAATATACCCAAAAACGTAAAAAGAATCAATCCAAATCGTAAGCTAACAATAGATATTTTCGGTAAATAGATCTGACAATTGTCAAAATTGAACATCGTCACATCGGCAATTTACAGCTTAAAACTCAAAGCAAAATTTTTAAATGTTGGTATTTGTCTTTGAGACATGTCTCTTTTTCTTAAAGGTCAGACTTAATCAAGTCTGAACCAATTTAGAGGGAAAAAAACGGTTAAAATAGGGTACCACCCCCTATTTTAGTATGTTATAAAATAACATGGGTAGGTGCGGGGCTCAAATTCACGCCGAACCATTCGACCATAAAAAAGTCTCGCATTTGTCTTTGACTGCTTGTCCATTTTTTAAAATTTATGTTCGCTATATGCATTTATACTTTTTCTCACGCAATTTACTTTTGCACTGCAACAACATCAAAATTCAAATTTTCTCCTCATTTTTCAAATGGACGGTTTAGAAAGTGTCTTAGAACTTAAACAGACTTAAAATGGCGCCTGTTGGTTTTACAAAATCTACAGCCAAAACCTTCAGTTTTGGCACCATTCAATCAATAAACCAGTTCGGTAGAATTTCTTTTTTTTTTGCTGAATGAGTTATATCAAAGTGAACTTTTATGTAGCCAAATAGCAACCATTTAAGTATTTTGCATCGCAATTTGCATGTGAAGAGAGATCCGTAAATAGGTACAAGTTCGCATGTGTTTAATCGTTGAACTATTTCATTATAGGGGTGGCAATTCTTTATTCGAAACTCAAGCGATCCGAAAACTTAGTAAAATCAATACTGTTAAGTACAATTTTTAATTGAAACCAATATGATAAGTTTCGCAGTCGAAAAAAGAAACAACCCCTGGCATACAGGGTCGGATCTAGGAATTTCTCGAGGGGAGGGGAAGGGGGGGGGGGGGTTTCCAATAGTTTTTTTTTCAAATTAGTGTCGTTTTGTCTGCGTGGTGTAATAAAAAGATTTGAACGAAAAATAAAGCATATTCAATTATCATAGTAAAATCAGCAAACTGGAAAAAATCAAAATGATTTTTCGAAAAAAAACAAAAAAATTTTCGAAGAAATTGAAAGTTTTTCAAATTTTTTGACAGATTTTTTTAATGATTTTTTTTATGATTGTGGTTCGCAAAATGGCGTTACAAAATTCCAAAAATTATTTTTATCTGAGTAAAATTAAACGCAAGCACAAATCAGTTATTGCACACGACTTAAATTAACCATAAATAAGCCTGCTTGCTCGTTTCATTCGCTCGAAACTAGACCACAAATCAAATAATTTATTTTCAGTTCTTAAATGTCCTCCGACTCATTTTTTGTGATGTCAATTGATCGTATACCATCCGACCCATTCCATTGACTTTTTTGATACCTGGTAATTTTTTTGCATGAAAAAGAAAAGAGAGAAGTAATTAAAACCTTCCTATGTTCGCTCAATATACCCAAAAACGTAAAAAGAATCAATCCAAATCGTAAGCTAACAATAGATATTTTCGGTAAATAGATCTGACAATTGTCAAAATTGAACATCGTCACATCGGCAATTTACAGCTTAAAACTCAAAGCAAAATTTTTAAATGTTGGTATTTGTCTTTGAGACATGTCTCTTTTTCTTAAAGGTCAGACTTAATCAAGTCTGAACCAATTTAGAGGGAAAAAAACGGTTAAAATAGGGTACCACCCCCTATTTTAGTATGTTATAAAATAACATGGGTAGGTGCGGGGCTCAAATTCACGCCGAACCATTCGACCATAAAAAAGTCTCGCATTTGTCTTTGACTGCTTGTCCATTTTTTAAAATTTATGTTCGCTATATGCATTTATACTTTTTCTCACGCAATTTACTTTTGCACTGCAACAACATCAAAATTCAAATTTTCTCCTCATTTTTCAAATGGACGGTTTAGAAAGTGTCTTAGAACTTAAACAGACTTAAAATGGCGCCTGTTGGTTTTACAAAATCTACAGCCAAAACCTTCAGTTTTGGCACCATTCAATCAATAAACCAGTTCGGTAGAATTTCTTTTTTTTTTTGCTGAATGAGTTATATCAAAGTGAACTTTTATGTAGCCAAATAGCAACCATTTAAGTATTTTGCATCGCAATTTGCATGTGAAGAGAGATCCGTAAATAGGTACAAGTTCGCATGTGTTTAATCGTTGAACTATTTCATTATAGGGGTGGCAATTCTTTATTCGAAACTCAAGCGATCCGAAAACTTAGTAAAATCAATACTGTTAAGTACAATTTTTAATTGAAACCAATATGATAAGTTTCGCAGTCGAAAAAAGAAACAACCCCTGGCATACAGGGGCGGATCTAGGAATTTCTCGAGGGGAGGGGAAGGGGGGGGGGGGGGTTTCAAAAAAAAAATCGATTTGCCCAAAGCACTGTTTTGCCCCTATTTTGGCTAAATTTTCTGTGCCGCTGGCAAATTAAAACAGTCAAAAAAGCCGTTTTTGGGCACTTTTTGAAAAATTTTGACAAAAAAATCGCGTTTTTTTGGCGCGCGCTCCCCCTCAAAGTTAGTATAGCGGTAAAATGTATTTGTTTTTATATTCTTTGAGAGGGTTGGTGTGTAAAAACTTTCGAAGTTTGTTAGCTAAAATATTTTACGTTAAAGTTTTTTTTCGGCTGAATGGTTGTCTACCCATGTATTGTCGAAAAAAAATGAAACATTTTTGTGGATGTAATATTTTCCAATCACATAAACAGCTAAATCTGCGGTGAAAACTAAATCAACAAAAGTTTCATACGTTTGTTTTGACAAAAATTGGGTGGACAACCGTTCTGCCTAAATTAAAAGAAACCCGACAAAAATATGTCTTAAAACACTTTGAGCTCATAAGATTTAAAACTCAACAAGACTGCTCGTATCAGGGCGAAGCCCTGAATGTTCCGACTGCCTTTTAAGGTTTATGGAGCAATGATAACATGAAAAAGTTAATGTAATAAAATAAAATGAAAAATTCTAAAATTTGAAATTTTTTTTATCAAATCATCCCCCCACACGCCATATAGAGTACGAAAGAATAGATTTCGCTCATTGTAACAAATCAATTATGGCAAATAAGCTTCTTTCAACCAATTTGGAACGATTTATAAGTTGGATTAAATCTCCGCTTACGCGTTCATAGCGCGCGTTAATTGTCCCAAATTGGTCAAAATGGCCAAAATGGCAATCTTTAAACCCTCATAACTTTACGAAAAATGATCACAGGTGAAATATCTTTTCAAATTTGAGCTCAGGACAACAATAGCTTTCGAATGATATAAAAAAATTCCGTCAAAAATGGCTAGTTAAAAAGTCGAAATTTGTCTGAAGAAAAAAAAAACCCACCCCGAGCACAAATATTCCGTTACTTTCGTATCGGAAGTCGGAACAATAAAGTTTCATAAACAGTTTCTGCTTACATTTAATTCCACTCAGTTATTTTTTAATTGTGTCAGTCGAATGAGAAAGTCAATTTTGTATGTTTTATGCTTTTATATGTGTCAAAAGAGGTGCCTATACCTTTTTGTTCCGACTTTCGATACGAAAGTGACGGAATATTTGTGCTCGGGGTGGGTTTTTTTTCTTCAGACAAATTTCGACTTTTTAACTAGCCATTTTTGACGGAATTTTTTTATATCATTCGAAAGCTATTGGGGTCCTGAGCTCAAATTTGAAAAGATAATTCACCTGTGATCATTTTTCATAAGGTTATGGGGGTTTAAAGATTGCCATTTTGGCCAATTTGGGACAATTAACGCGCTATATATTTCGCGCTATTAACGCGTAAGCGCAGTTTAATCCGTCTTAAAATCGTTCCAAATTGGTTGAAAGAAGCTTATTTGCCATATTTGATTGGTTACAAGGAGCTAAATCTATTTGTTTGTACTTTATATGGCGTGTGGGTGGATGATTTTCATAAAAATATTCAAATTTAAAAAAAATCATTTTATTTTATTACATTTAGTTTCTTAATGTTATTACTGCTCCAAAAATCTTAAAAGGCAGTCGGAACATTCAGGGCTTCGCCCTGATACGAGCAGTCTTGTTAGATTTTGTTTTCAAAGGTATCTAAAGCAACTGAAAATGAAATCTTAATTTTATAACGCCACTCGGAATTTTGTTAAAACTATAATGGCTATTTGTGAGCATCGATTTTTTTTTAAATGAGTGTTACTTTTGAAAGATGCTCGTTCTTTTTGAATTCAACAGCAAATGAAGCCTTAATAAAATTCGAGTGAACTTTTTTCGGCCTTTTCATTCGGAGGAACTGTTGTTTAGTTCTACTTTTTTGGTCAACTAATTTTCACCAGAATTCATCGCCTTTTTTGACTTTTGAGCTTGACGATTTGATCCGCATAACAGAAAAAAGAACAGTGAACTGTCTTCTTGGCTGTTGGCTATGCAATGTATGGTTCATTTCGTGTAGGAACATTATGTTACATGTATGGTTCATATATGGTTCATGTATGGCTCATGTATAGTTCATGTATGGTTCATGAATGGTTTATGAATGGTTCATATATGGCTCATTGATGGCTCATATATGGTTCATGTATGGTTCATGAATTGTTCATGTATGGTTCATATATGGTTCATGAATGGCTCATATATGGTTCATGTATGGTTCATGAATTGTTCATGTATGGTTCATATATGGTTCATGAATGGCTTATGTATGGTTCTTGAATCGTTCTTTAATGGTTCACGTATGGGTCATGTGTGGTTCATTTTGTTAGGAATTGCAGAACGTGAGCAGTATGGCTCACACGATAGAGTTACTGAAGGCACAGCACCAGATCACAGGCCAGCAGATAGAAGTGTGTCCAGAAGCCCACAGGGAACAGTGGCTCATACAATACGCGTTAGTACAAAAAATCCATATATATTTATGAATAGAAGCATAGAAAAACCCGATGCCAGAGTACATAAAAAGAATTATTGTAACCAGTAGTGGATAAATTAAGAAAAGCTTCCTATCTTAAACCTTCTTAAGAAAAAGATTTTCTTATAAGTTTTTTGAGCCAAACTGTATAACAATTTGTGAGGTTTTTCTAACAAAATTTTGACATAGCGACTTTGGCTAAACCAGTGGTGCTATTCCACTTGAAAACTTTCTACATTATACGTAAAAATAACACCATATTGAGGCGTAATTGGCCTTAGGATTTTTTACCAAACATGGATTTTCTGATATCAAAAAAAATAAGAGCTGGGCAAAACAGCATCTTAATTTGTGTTTAGGAGTGAGGCCAACCAACTAGCCCAGTGTCTGAAAAACTTTGAAGCTCTGCAGCTACGGGTGAACAAACTAGCTGAAGAAGCCTCCCGGTCCATTTCCGTGTCAATATCCTCGTCCACAGCCTCGTCCCACCCCCTAAATTCTTCCCAGCAACCCGGACAGGAGTTTCATGCAACGGCTTCATACCAACAGCTAGCTAATGATGAACAAGTTCTGGCCGAGAAAGTTAGAGCCAAAGCGGTAAGTTTATTGGAAAAGCAAAATGGAAAATTTTAGTTTCTCGGTGATAATTATTGTGTCCCAAAACAAGTTTTGCAGCTTTTGTCAGAAATCATGATTTTGTAAAGCTTTTTCGATGTCAGTCATGATTTGAACTTCATTTTTGTTCCACTTTTTTGTTATCAGTTTATGTAACTGCAAAACATCATCCTCAGATGAGATGGCAGATTCTGTTTAAGAGTAATGAATGTAGTTAGTGCTCTTACATAGACCTTGGTGATTTTTTTTGTTTTTTTTTTCATGAAAAATGTTATAATTTGTCCACGTTTAATTTTGATTTTTCGCGGTTTGACTTTTGATTTGTTTTTAACTTCAGTGTAATTCCATTGTTAAGAAGAAAGCAAACTGCTCTATTGAACAGCAAAATTGTAAATGTCACAAAAAACTTGCAAAACGTGATAAACTTCTAGTTTCGAAAGTGGAATTAATTATCAGATATCCTAGTGAAAAAAATGTTTACCTATTGATCCAGTTTTCTCAAATTGGGCTATATTCAGGGTTGCAGAAAAACCAGTTTAGATTTAAAAAAAACGTTTTAAAAGTTTAAAACATTTTAAACATTTTTTAAACAAAAAAAAACAAGGAAGTTATATGCATTCTGTGCACCACACTTTCCCAAGTTGAGTGCTCTTTTCATTTCATTTTAAGTAGGATCGACTCCAAGAAAGTCTGATATAAAAAAACGCAGCAAATCAAGACTGCAGAATAAAAGAATTTTTCCGTTTCTTGGAACTTTCGAACCATGCACTTTCGAACTAAATCCATCGAGGAGGTTTTTCCACGAATACTGTTCAGTTAGTCAAAGCACAGAAGAAAATCTGCCAATCAGGGGAAGTTGTTTTAAACACTAAATTATTCAGTGTTTTAAACACTGTTTTAAAAGTGTTTTAGACAAGACATGTTTTAAACAATGCAACCCTGGTTATATTTAACAAAAAAGCGTTCATCATGATTTGCTCTACAAATTCAAAGAGCTTTAAGGCCATCTACTTTTTTCTTCGAAATTCAAAAGTTGAAGGTTTTTTGAAAAACACAAGTCATTTTTTTTTCAGTTTCCTTGCGTTCATTACTCTTTTCCCACTGTCAGGGCAATGTTTTTTTTAACGAGCTCCGTTTTTGGCTTTCAGGTCTTCATAGACAGCTTGGAAACCAAGATGAAGAAATTAGATCTGCAGATAGAAAGTGACCGAAGGCAGTTCGAAGCAGAGAAGCAAAATCTACTGAATCACATACAAATGGTGAAATAGTTGTATAACCTTTTGCTACCTGACTGTTTTTGAGCCGGACTTATATTTGTTTTTCATTGATAATCATCGATAATAAGTTTTTATTGTCTGTCTCCACAAAAAATAAACATAACTGATTACAAACGACTAAAATTTGACTATAACATTTTTTATCGGATCAATAAAGTTAATATTAAGGTGCTGATCTAGGATTTTCTCGATCTCGAGGGGGGGGGGGGGCAAAATGAAAAAAAATCTAAATTTTTGTCGACTTTTTTTTCGGTCGACCAAATTGAATTTCCAAGCTCTCCTAAAGCACTTGAAAGACCCTGTTTTGGCCAAAAAAATTCCAAAAAATTGCGTTTTCTTTTGGCGCGGCGTGCTCCCCTCTTAAAGTTCGTATAGATTGGCGCCAAAGGCGCTTTAGAAATTTTTAATGGCCCGTCACCAAAAATGGATCTCTCAAAATAGTACAAAGGGAGACGCCATTTTATTTTGGTATAAGAAGATGCAGCTTCATTGATGCTGACTTAAAGCATACTTAATGCAAAAGCGGATCTAGGATTTTCTCGAGGGGCCGGATTTTCAAAAAATTCTCGAAGTTTTTGTCGGATTTTTCGAGATCTCCCAAAGAACTAAAAAGTCCCTGTTTTTTTGTCCAAAATTTCTGCGCTGCGGGCAAAAAAAACTGACCAAAAAAAGCGTTTCTAGGCATATGTTAGAAAATTATGACCAAAAAAACGCGTTTTCTTCGGCGCGCATTCCACACTCAAAATTAGTACATGTTGGCGCTGAAGGCGCCTTTAGAAAACTTTTGGGGTCCGTCACCAAAAAAAGAATATCTCAAAACAGTACAACCCGGGCCCCTTTGGGTCGGCAGGGGGTCAAATCCCTGAGGGGAAAAAGCGTCCGCCAACCCCCCCCCCCCCCCCCTTAAATCCGCCCCTGCCTAATTGTACGTGGAGCACTGCGACAAATCCAGTTATCAACAAAGATAGCCGGTTACTGTGCAAAAAGCAAAGAAGTCTTAATATCCGACCAGAGCTTAAGAATTTTTGTCAGCCATTGATAAATATGCAAATTGGAAAACACTTTTTGAAGACAAATTACATGAAAAACAAAAACTCAAAAAAAATTTAAAATTATCTTCTTTTTTAACTTTTTTTATTCCAAGGATGAAGCTAAAAAAAAACTTCAAAAATTAACGTCATTTGAATAAAGCTTAATTTTCAAGGCCTAAATTAAGCATGAATAAATTAATGTAAGTCTGATCAGTTGCTCGAAATTTAACGATAAATCAAAAAATTCAGAACGCTTTTTCTCGACACGGGAAAATTTTTTTTTGAAATTTCTTAACACCGTTCGAATTACTACTGAAAATGTTATATCTTTCAAAACAGTCGATGGTTAAGAGTAATGAACGTAGATCTTGCTGATTTTTTTTTCAGGAAAATTCTTAAAATTCTCTAATAACTACAGATGCGCATTCATACATAATGATGGCTTGATTAATGCACTTGGGTAAATTTGCATTTTTTCAATTAAAATTCATCTACTGAAAATGACGTAAATAGCACTCTCCAACTAGGAATGTGAAAATGGCGCAAAAAAACGTGAACGATTTCTAGTTTCGAAAGTGGAATTTAATTTTTAGATTTCCAGCGGAATAAAATTTTTACCGGTTGATTCAGTTTTCTCTAGTTTGATTCATGTTGTCAAAAAAGCGCCAATAATAAATTGAGAAAGGCGAGCTTTTTTCAAGAAAGTCAGTGTTTTTTATGTACGCATTGCGTTCATTAGTCTTTTCCAATCTTCGATTGGCTATGTTTATTTGTGCTAGCTGATTTTGCGTGGAAATCAAAAAGAAAAAAAGTAAAACAAACTCGAATACAGGGGCGGATCTAGGATTTTCTCGAGGGGGCGGATTTTCAAGAATTTATCGATTTTTTTTAGGTCGACCAAATTGGTTTTTCCGAGCTCTCCAAGCACTAAAAAGTCCCTGTTTTGGCCAAAAGTTTTGCACCGCAGGCAAAATTTTGAAAAAACAGGCCAAAAAAGGCGTTCTTAGGCAATTTTTGGAAAGTTCATCAAAATTAGTTTATCAAATCACCTCTTCAAAATTAGTATTTTTTTGCACCGAAGGCGCCTCTAGAAAAATTTTAGGGTCAATCAGCCAAAAAGAGGTATCTCAAAGTCATAAAAGGGGGACCCTTTGGGTCGGAGGGGGTCGAATCCGCTGGTGCCCGAATACAAAGTTCCTCCCCATTTTCAATGGTCGGATCAAAATCAAAAAAATGCACGGTGACAGTATATTTTCCATCAAATTTTATAATAAAATAGTAAACGATATACTTCACAGCAAGTCAAAATTTTTGTATTATAGCTCGAAACTGGACACAACACTAATGAGTTCGACCAATCCTTGTTGTCAAATACTCAAAGCTCTCCTTTCGAACTCGGATCTCGATTGTCTCAAATTCATACACAAGGAAGATCCAATTCGGCGCTCGGTCATTCGTTACCTTTAAATCCGAGACTGCTTTCGCCGTCGCCCCCAGACAACATTCATACTCGTCGGAAAACGAGAGACACATCGTCGCGCCATAACAGAAACATTTCACAACCAGGGTTCTATGATTCAATGCGCAATACGCCGACAAATTTTATCGAAAGCTCCTCCGACAATCCGTTTTTCTATACAAATACTCGTCTAATTGATCCTAAAATTCCATTTATCGGATCCAAAGCTAACGTATCACACGAAAACACAAAATCTATCCATGAATCTTTTGCGAATACCTCTCGGAGTTTTCCAGTCGAAGTAATAAACGTCAGCTCATCAAGAACTACTGAAATGCCAGACTATCAACTTATACGCGACAATCCAAACTTAAACACAGCTTTAGGAGTCTTTAACACAAGTTCAAATCCAGGTGTACTAAGTGCAGCAGATTACGCTAGACCTAACTATCAGTCGCACAGCGCAACTGCTTCTCCTGTACCTTCAAGGACCAACCGTCCTATTCGGCCAATCGCGAGCAGCTTAGGGATGAAGATACCGAATTCATCAATGCATACACCAGCGAGATCAAGTTTTGCAAACTTGGGACCCACGAATCACGGCATGTCGGTATCTCCTCTGCCTCAGAATATTGGATCCCAAAAAATGCATCCAGCATCCTTAGGACCATTGAATCCAAATAGCATAACATCACAGAGGCCACTAGCCAAGACCCATATATCTAGCGTTCAGCAACAAGTGACTGGCCTGCAGATCCCAGGGTTCCTGCAGTCTTCGCAGCTTGGGAACCTTGTCTCTGGGGTTCCAAATATTGCAGGGATCCCTGGTGTTGTCGGAGTGCAAAATATAACGGGATACCAAAATATTCCTGGAGCCCTAAATTCTAGCGGATTGCAGAACGCTTCAGGACTCCATCGAAATATTTCCAGTTTACCCAATCAAACAATCGGTTTTGTGGCCCCACATCAGCAAGCATCAGCAAATTTTCCATTGACCAATCAACGAGGAGTAATTCAACCAGTTTTGACCAATCATAGTTCCGTGTCAAAGTCATCGCAGTTATATGAACAGGTATTTCCGGCGTCAAGAACTTCGGTGCCCGTGAACAGATTGTCTGGATTGTTGATTCCTGCTTCCAACTTCCAAACAAACTCTGATTTAAGACAGGCTTCAAGTGCTGCATTCTATCAAGATTCGCAGGTAAATACAATGTTTACGGAAGAGAACTTATAGGTATATAATCATTGCCGAAAATCTGATACAACCAATGTTAGTGAAAACTTTCTGCCCCAACCAATGTGCTGGGGGATCCGTTAGGAATATAAATGTGGAAATAGTAAAGATTTCAAAGCGGTTTTATAATGAATTTTGAAAGATTCATGGATGTTCATGAATGCCATTTAAGTCATATACTGGTAATGACGAATTAGTACAATGTGTTCCCGGGTCGAGTTTGTGGTTTTATGATCAGACGCGACCGAAGTTGGCTATTTTCGTACCACCGCGACCAAAAATTCGTTTTTTTTCCGACTTTGCGGACCGAGGCAATATGTCCGCGACCGGCACGACCGGGAGGAAAGTTGGTCGCGGCAGTCAAAAAATTAAACGCGACGGTCAAAAAATTAGTCGCGGCGTTCGAAAATTCAGTCGCGGCGGTCAAATAATTAATCGCGGCTGTCGAAAAAATTATTCGCGGATGTCGCAAAATTTGTCGCGGCGGTCAAAAAATTAGTCACGGCGGTCAAAAGTTAGACGCAACGGTCGAAAAAATAGTCACGGCGTTCGAAAAATTAATCGTGGTGGTCGAAATTTTAGTCGCGGCTTGGTCGAAAAATTAGTCGTGGCGGTCGAATAGTTTGTCGCGGCATGGTCAAAAAATTGGTCGTGGCGTTCGAAAAATTAGTCACGGCGGTCAAAACGTTAGTCGCCACGGTCGAAAAAAATAGTCGCGGCGGTCGAAAAATTAGTCGTTGCGGCCAAAAAATTTGTCGCGGCATGGTCGAAAAAACAGTCACGGCGTTCGAAAAATTAATCGTGGTGGTCGAAATTTTAGTCGCGGCTTGGTCGAAAAATTAGTCGTGGTGGTCGAATAGTTTGTCGCGGCATGGTCAAAAAATTGGTCGTGGCGTTCGAAAAATTAGTCACGGCGGTCAAAACGTTAGTCGCCACGGTCGAAAAAAATAGTCGCGGCGGTCGAAAAATTAGTCGTTGCGGCCAAAAAATTTGTCGCGGCATGGTCGAAAAATTAGTAGCGGCGGTCGAAAAATCTGTCGTGGTGGTCGAAATTTTAGTCGCGGCTTGGTCGAAAAATTAGTCGTGGTGGTCGAATAGTTTGTCGCGGCATGGTCAAAAAATTGGTCGTGGCGTTCGAAAAATTAGTCACGGCGGTCAAAACGTTAGTCGCCACGGTCGAAAAAAATAGTCGCGGCGGTCAAAAAATTAGTCGTTGCGGCCAAAAAATTTGTCGCGGCATGGTCGAAAAATTAGTAGCGGCGGTCGAAAAATCTGTCGCGGTGGTCGAAAAATTTGTCGCGGCATGGTCGATAAATGTGTCGCGGCGGTAGAAAAAATAGTCGCGGTGGTCGAAAAATTAGTCGCCGCTGTCGAAAAATTAGTCGCGGCGGTCGAAAAACTTATCGCGGCGGTCGATAAATTAGTCGCCGCGGTCGAAAAATTAGTCGCGTCGGTTGAAAAATTAGTCGCGGTGGTCGAAAAAATTAGTCGCCGCTGTCGAGAAATCAGTCGCGGCGGTCGAAAAAATTGTCGCGGCGGTCCAAAAAATTGTCGCGGCGAGGTCGAAAAGTTAGTCATGGCGGTCGAAAAATTAGTCGCGACTGAAAAAAAGTTAGCAGAAATTGGCGCAGAAGTCTCTTTTTCTTGAAATATACTATTTTGGTTATGTTTCAGAAGAGATTTTGAGGGTGCTCTTACGAAAACTGACACTAAAACAAGGAACTCTAGAGCATCAAAAACTCATCAAGGATTGTTTCGAATTGAAGAGAACGAAAACGAACAAAAATATAGTCACAATCAACAAATTTAGAATTCTGTAAATGATAACTGTATTAATCTGCTTTTGTTTCTATTCAACAAAGCAAATTACTGTAGATTTTGGTTATTGTAAATTTTGATCCGCAATCGAGACGCTTCAGCGTTGGTGCTATCGGTTATAATCTTTATTGTGCATGAATTGAATTATGAATTTTACCAATTTATTCTCTATATTTGCAATATTCAATAAAACATTTCATTTGATTCTCTTAAATGCGATAGAAGCGGAGCAATAGAAGCTTTTTAAACCACAGCAAAAACACCCGCACACTACTTTTTTTTCGTCAAGTCAACAAAACAAGTTTTATCGAATTTAATGGATTATGAATTTAACCAATTTATTCTCTATATTTGCAATATTCAAAAAAAAATATTTCATTTGATTCTCTTAAATGCGATAGAAGCGGAACGATAGAAGCTTTTTAAACCACAGCAAAAACACCCGCACACTACTTTTTTTCGTCAAGTCAACAAAACAAGTTTTATCGATTTTAATGGATTATGAATTTTTTTTAAAGATATTTGTCTGAATTTTTCAAACACGGCAGTTTTTCCCAACTGGAGAGTTGATTTTGGCCTAACACAATTTTGTTGGAAAAGGGCAAAAGTGACACTTAACTTTTGGCTAAGAAAATTGTAACATTGTTTTTAAAACTGTTTCCTTTCACTATTTTATACTTTTGTACTATTTTATACACATATTTTTTCATTACGAGGCCAAACTGTGCATTTTGTGCATTATAAGCGGATTCCGCAACAAGGACGCTCCCTTTGTTTTTCTTTTGTTCTTTCAATTTCTTTGATAGTTCCGACAAAATTTTAACATGTTTAAAGACTTGTCTATGAAATCCATAGGAACACAGACACAATACAGACACAAAATTGTGCGCCTATCCAGTGGGCAGTTTGGCCTCGTAATGTTTGGTTTCTCCGTTTTTGCTGACCTTTTTTACACCCTCCCCTATAATAATTACGTACCTCATTTTCTCCTGGTCACCCTCCCCCCGAGCCGGCGGAGGGGGGTTTTCTGATCACTGTATTGCTTACTTATCGCCGAATCGTTTTTAGGGTCTTATGCACTAAACGGCCCAAATTCATTATTTCTACATTTCTTGAACTGAAATTATTGTGGATGAATTTGATTGGCTACTTAGCCAATCAAGTTGCATCGACATTTTCTGCCATTTCAATTGAAATTTCAAGCAGATACAATTATTAGCCGAAATGATAAAGAAAATTGAATTGTGTTTTGTCAAGCCATTTTAGTGAAATTTGCTTGTCTGGGAAATTTGCTTGTTTCACAAGTGACTCAAAGTTAATTTGATAATTTGACTCAAAATTCCACCTTTTCGCGAATTTCGGCTAATTTTTTTATCTGCTAGAAAAGTTGATCGGAATGCCTGACCGTGTAACCTGAATTTGATTGGCTAAAATTACCCAATCAAATTTGATCGCATAATTTCCAGCTTAAGATGTAGAAAAATTGATTTTTGGCCGTTTAGTGCATACGACCCCATTTTTATCCCCCTAACCACAGTTAAACCCTCCGCACGGTAACCACCTTCCGCACCCGCACGAGGCTAAAACTCGGAGTGGGTGTGGGGAGGGTATGGGTGGAAGTCTTTCCTTGGGGGAGGGGGTTGTAAGCGGGGCTTACCATGTTCGTTATGGTTTTATTTTTGCAGAGCGTCGCAAAAAGTAGAGTTACACTCCATTACACTCTAGTGGGGGCAAGAACTTTATCACGTTGAAAATCTCAAAACTTTTCAATAATTTTTCTAACAACATTTGAAAAAAGTGGATCAAAAAAGAGCCTAATTTTTTTTCTCAAAGCCATTCGGATAGAAAATAACAAAATTTGAGGAATTTAGTTTTTTTGGTCAATTTTGGTTTTAATAGGCTTTATGGGGACTTAAAAGTTCAAATTGACCGACCTAAAAAGATTCGACGAAAAATATTTTTAGGTCGGCAAATTTTTTCTCAAGGTGATGTCCCGCGTCTAAGAAAAATGGAAAAAAAAATCAAATTTGAGAGACTTTTGTTCTCAAAATTATTATCAATATAATCGATTCCCAAGTTGTAACTGATGTAAACTCATTAGAAAAAAGCACTTTGACAATCAGAAGCTGTTTGATTTTCTATTTTTCATCAAACTCAGGATTTTTTTTTTAATTCTGAAAGAAAAATCTCAAATTAAAAAGTTTTGCTTTAATGTGACATCCTAGCAAATCCACTGCCTCATTCAATTGACATTCAGGATTTTCAACACCTGATGAAAGCGAAACTACTTAACGGGATGTTGAAGAACCTCGAAAACTTTAACAATCAGACAAGCACTTGCGCTTGGTGGATGAACTGTGGTAGTACATAGCAAAACAATTGAAGCCCTCTAACTTCATAATTGATGACATTAAAGGGGGATAACCCTTATGTTGTACACTATATCCATAATAATGACAATCAAAATCATAATAAAATTATAATAATAGTTAGTAAGGAGGTTGCTATTTCTAGTTAATTCGATTCAGGTTGAAGTGAATCTGAAAACGAATTGGTTTGGACAAAAAAGAGACAAGTACTGCACAGCCCTGAAAATGAATCGAGTTCATTTTGTCTAAAGAATTAAAAAACGACATTCTGATCCAAGCAAGACGTTCTGATCCGACGTTCTTTATCTTTTCATTCGATAACTCCTGAAACATTAAGCCTTGTGTCACTCAATTCATTCATAAGATGCACCTTGCGTGTTAAACATCTTAACTTGGGTGATAGTAGTCAAAAGAGTCCCAACGTTAATCAACCATCACTTTAAATCAAATAGTAGCAGGTGAAGTTTCTTCCTTCTTCAATTTTCGGACATCAATATTTTTCGAAATTTCTCCAAAAATAGCTAGTTGAAAATAAATTGAAATTTTTATGGAGAAAAAAAACGACACGAGCAGAACCAATTTGTCTCTTTCCGAAATTAATTGTGATATTCAACAATGTAAAACTTTGTTCTGTAGCACTACTTCTTTAATACAACCTTAATTACTTCATTATTCAAGGTGTTTTGAACAAGGTGTATTGCTTATGAAAAGCTGCTATTTTATACTTGCAGTCGCTGTGATTTTTTAAATTTAAAGTCCAAAAGTCGAAAGGTGAACTTAGCAAAAAAACTTTTTTTACAGAAAGTTTTTTGTTGTATCTCTTGACTTGATAATCAAAATAATTCTAGTAAGTATAGATTTATAAAAAGTTTGTACGAAATCAGAAGTGATAGAATTCTTGAAATTTTCAATAATTTCTCCTAAGATCCACTTGGTGTAGTTCAAACGACGCATTCGTCTTTTGAGGCATTCGCCTTATAATTTTAATATTTTCTTTGATGTTAAAATCTGGACTATCTGGGGGCCAGTCAATGGATCAGACACCGTTCTCAACCAGATATTCTTCAATAATTTCTGCATAATGAACTGGGCAGTTGTCCTACATCAGTTCCCATCCAAAACTTGTGTTTCTTTGATTTCGTTTTGGTCCAGTGCATCCCTGTGATTTTATGCATCGTAAGGTGTGATAAATTGCCGAAGGTGCGATAAGTTTGCAAAAAATAACTGAAAAACGCAACAAAATCTTCAACACGATTTTCACTGTTCACAACGTTGTCACTACACTCTGCTATATCTCTTTATCTTGAGAGCGAATCCTACCTCGGAGGATTCGCGGAGAGCATAAAACTTGAGGTTTTTGGATCAAAAACGGCACTTTTGCAATCTATAGGTTCTGTACTTCTTCCCAAGTTCACTTTTAGAGCTGCCGAACGACTCAAATTTCCTATACTTTTGATTCGTCCCCGTATGGTTACCGCCGAAATCGTTTTAGGGTAAAAAAAATCGACTTCTATCTGCAGTGATCTGACTAATCTCTCTTTTTTACCTTCTTCAAGTCTCAGATCAGCAGTTTGTCCTCTTGTCCGTCGTTTTTTGGACTTGTAACCGCGTTTTGATATCTCATTTAAAGTGGGATCATTCAAGCAACCTTGATTACCAACTGTAGACGTTTGTTTATTCAGTCCCAGGTTTTTGCCAATGTTAACGAAACTTAAACCATATTCTTGATAAAATGAAACAATTTTGTGTGTTTTTCATGGTTAAAAGCCACGCTTACTCATTTCGTCAACAATACGAACAAAAATTGACACTATGCTAAAAATGTGAATATAGGCGCGTGAAAACAATTACAAGAATTATCAATTGAACAATCTTTTGTGCCCCTTTGAACAGTCTATGTATGGGAATTGATTTCGAAAAAACATCACTGATTTACGTACATTACTTTTCACTGGAATATTTTGAAAAAACGACCGTCTGAAATTTTTTTGCTAACCTCTGAATAGCCAATATTTTGTATTTCTTATTACTCAGAGATCTCGTTGAAAAATGTTCGAGTCCGAATCGCGACTGAAATGGCGTTAGTAGAACATCTTGTTTGAAACTGGGATTCATTTCGAAATACGGAAAACTGCATGTTAAAAATTCAGACTCAAAGCTGCTGTTTTTTTCCGCTCTTTCAATTATGATTGAAAATAATGATAAAAATTGCAAAACAAACGTTCCAAAATCAAAAAAACCCAAATTCAAATCAAAAATTGGGAACAGAAAATTTTTTGGCAAAGAAATTTCCGAGAATAAGAGAAAAAAGGCACAAGAGATTGACAAAGATTTTACATATTTCCTCAATTGAGTTAAAAACAATTACGATACATTATTGAAAAAAAAACAATAAATATCCGAATTCCAGGAAAAGACTGTCAACTCTTTTTTAACAGCAGTGTTTCCATACTAAGCGTATTTTTAGGCTCGAAAAAACTAATCTAATTTCCAAAATAGAGTAAGCGTCTTTAAAAAAAAACAATTGAATTAATCGAAAGTGTTGTAAAAATTTCTTGTAATGATTTCTTTAGAGGAGCAGTTTTCAATCAATAGCGACAATAGTTTGTTTGATTTGTTGGTCATATTGTCTGCGACATATCTCTCAATATCTGTAAGTAGAAGATAAATTGAACCAAATCGATCACTCGTGTCTAGAAGTTTCATTTGAGACTCGCTTGTTTTTGTTGGAACAAAGCTTGATAAAATTTGTTCAGGCG